TTAGGTTCAGGGTTTAAGGGTTTAGAGAAATAGGCCGCTTGTCCTAAAACAAAACGTGGGCGATCACACGGAAGCCGCAACCTCAAACACATGGCCCTAAACCCTAAACCCTATAGGTTGACGCTTCAAGGTAAACCGTAACCCAAATCTCAGTTCCTCCTTTATGGGGCCTGTAGAGTAAAAGGTATATAAGGACCTTGTTAATTACCAGAAGTTTTAGGGTTTAGGGGTTAAGGGTTTAGGGTCTAGGGATCTGAGACCAACGGCAAAGGTGTGGCATGCCCTGTTGCTTACAAGCGAATGGTTTGATGTCGAGAGTAACCACTTGACAAAATCTCAGCCCCCATCAGCCGAAACACGAAATGGGACCCTAGAGGTTTATATATACATATATGTGTCTGCGTATATCTATATATGGCTTATAAGAGTATCTGGAGGCGTTGTCCTTACGAAAGGTCAATCCAAGGACAATTTTGAGAAATCCCTCCGTGTCGCCTACCAGACCGGAAAAAAACATCATCCTATAGACGTTTAGATGGACCGTAAAAGTGGCCAACAAGAAACCGTAAACCCCAAACAGTAAACCCTAAACCCCAAACAGTGTGACTTTTGTGGCTGAACGTAAGGTCATATCCTTCTTAGGAAATACTACACACAACTGGCGGATATCAAATTCCCAAAAACGAATACTAGGCTTTTGGGCTTTAGAGTTAGGCGCATGCTGCTTCACTAACATTGACCACAAGGGATAATGGTGATTGTCCCCCTTTATCCCCCCATACTACACACCCCCAATGGTTCGGCCTTAGCTAAAGTTTTTGAGGGATAATAAATCTTTAGTTAAACCTAAATCCGAAACCATATACCCCCACCCTCGGAATGATTCGCCCTACTTGGTTTGAGGGATAATATCACTCCAATCAAACCTAATTTAAGGCTAATTAAGGGGGAGCCTACGCAGGGGTCTATGGTTTAGGGCTCAGTATACGGATGTAATAGGGGACCCATATTTTCTATCGGGTCTGCATATCTTGTCGACCCTAAACCCTGAAAACCTGCTAAACCCTAAGAACGCTAATCTACTGGGGACTGGCCTGAGCCTAAACCCTAAATCTTAATCCCTAATGTAGACCCATGACTAGTAGACCCCCTCCTTTCAAGCGCCGTAATCTTAGGATGCCTATTATCATCCTTATTAAGGGGAGGTGGGGGGTTATTAATCAGGGGTCTACATTACCCAAAGCATCCCAAGACCTCAAATAGTAAGGATTCCTTACATTCACAATAGAAGTTTCCTTATTGAAAACATGGATTCCATAATATGTATGGTCTTCGGATGGTTAGGGTTATATATCCTAAACCCTAAACCCTAAACCCCAAGCCATAATCCCTACATCCCTAAACCCTAAACCCTATAATCCCTATGTCCTAAACCCTAAAGCTCTAAACCTAACCGCCAGGAGATGTTGAGCCCGCGCCTTGATGGAATCAAGTCGCCAAATGTAAAACCTCAGATGTTAGGGTTAAGGGTTAAGGGATTAGGATTTAGGGTTTAGGGATTAGGGATTAGGGTTTAGGATTTAGGGTTTAAGGTTTTTGTCATTGGACTTTTTCTCAAAGAGCAAAATCCGTTAGAAATGGGTTTAGGGTTTAGGGATGGGGGTTTAGGGATTAGGGTTCAGGGTTTAGGGTTCAGGGATTTCGGTTTAGGGGTTAGGGTTTTGGGGATGGGGGTTTAGGGGTTAGGGTTTCGGGTTCAGGAACTAGGGTTCAGGGTTTAGGGTTCAAGTGCCTGAACCCTACCCCATACGGGACTTGACTACAGGTACTGTTCCCAAAATTGAGAAAATTTATGTAGGATTCATATCATGATAGGAAGCCCACTATACGGCCCAACAATGTTCCTCATCTAAGGAACATGGTGATGTCTAGCAATACATAAAGACTGGGTGGGAATCTTACTTGAGCTTGAACTTCTGAATATTTAGTTTTCCTAGAGAACCGAGGACATTGTACTTAGCTAGAATAGGGGAAAGCCATCAAAGTTTCGTGCTTGCTCATGGGGGAGGTATATATACATATGAATAAGGCTGGGAATTTCAGAGGTTGGGAAGTTTGTGGTTTCCGGGGTGATGTTATTCCCCTCCAGCAAATTAGCATGACAATCCTTTTGAAAGAGAGCTCCATGTGGCCTTCAATGTTAGTTTGAGGGAAGGTAAGTTGGGCCCGGGGAGCCCTAAACCCTAAACCCTAAACCCTGAACCCTAAACCCTGAACCCTAAACCCTAAACCCCTAAACCCTATTCCCTAAACCCTAAACCCGAAAAGATGGTTTGAACTCTCATGGTTCCTGACCTGCAGCATCCTCCTGCCTGGGCGGTTACAAGGCTAGACTGAACTTTAGGCTTAGCGCTTCGCGTTTGGGTCTTAGGCTTTGGGTTGGCGTGAATCCCCCACCCAGTAATGGGTACGGAGCTATTACTAGAGGGGGGATTGACCCAAGCTTAGGGGCTTAGAAGCACTTCCAAGGGCAGGCTAGAAGAGGAAGGTTTTAAAATTTGTTTACAAGAAATACCCTAAACCTTAAACCCTCGAACCGAAACCCTAAAGCTGTTTTACAGCAGCTTCAGAACCAGAACTTCGAATGTAAACCCGCCATTTTAGGTCGAGGCCGGGTCCCTAGACCCTAATGTAGACCTCTGATTAATGCCCTAAACCCTAAAGCATCGGTTTTAGGGTTTTAGGGTTTAGGACCCAGGGATCCTAAGATTCAGGAGATTAAAAGCACGGGGTTTATTAATCATGTCAATTTCCATCTTCTTTTCCATTATCCCTATATAATACTTATGTTCTCCCTATGTTACTATATTACCCCCAAATTACCCCCATAAGGCCCTGTACATCAAGCCCTTCTGTTTCCGGTTTCCATAAAAAAGGAGACCCCAATAGATGCTTAAGGTTTGGGGTTTAGTGTTTTAGAGTTCTTCTCATGGGGACCCCCAGGAATCGTACCCCTAATCTTGGGAAGCTTCCTTCTAGATTTTAGGAGCCCTGGGTTTTGCAGCTGCCCATGTTCCGTTTTCTCCCGGTCAAACACGGCTTCCTTCTTGATTTTTGTCAGGCGGTCACATTCCAAGCCCCAAAAATCTTCTTACAGAAAACTTACATCAAACCCTCACTGTCTCGCTCTGCGGCCGCTATAGCTAGCCGTGCACGTGCTAGGCCAGCATTATTAAACACAAGAAAAAACTTCTCTTTAAGATCCAAAGACAGCATGGAGAAGGACAGCGGCATCGTCAGGTGCTGGACACGTCTCATCCACGAGTCGTGCTTTGGGTCTGGTGCTCGCACGTACAGGACCTTACACCGTTGATGCGAGTTTTTGTGTTCATGCCCTCAAAGGATCAAAGCACAAATACCAGAGGGGCAATGAAGGGGGATTCAGAATGTGTAACCACCTCTTCTCCTTGCCAGTTGTCGGCTGCAGGGTCCCTTCTGGCAGCACTAGTGCAAACCGTGATTCATAAACCCCATCCTCTTAATTAGAGGCCTTCATTTTAGGATCCCTATTAGAATCCCCATTAAGGGGAAAGGCTTTATTAATCATGGGTCTACCTTAACTCTAAAGGCTGCAGGCTAAACCGAGGATTCCGGTTTGGGGTTTGCTAAGCTCAAGATTGGGGTGACCATTTAAGCTATAGTCTAAACTCNNTCCCCCTTAATAACCCCCTAAAATAATCCCCCATAAGATCCCCTATATGACCCTTCATTAAGGAGTATTGACAATAGCTTTTTCCTCATGTTTGGGGGTGCTACTGTAAGTACAATGCCTTCGGCTGCTTCCTTCCTGGGATCAATTAAACATCCCGCTTCATGTTCCTTCTTGGGACTTATTATATAATGACAATCTGAAAGCACATCCAACAATGGCCCAGCGAGAGTCAGATTTAACAACTTTAAACCCTAAACCCTAA